GCATCTCCAGGCAGAGAAACACACCTAGACAAAGACTTAGAGGCAGGAAAACCTGTTGAATGTGCAGAGGACAGGAAGAAGAGATCCTCAAGGAGACAGCATGAGGGATAAGGAGTCATGGTAGGTAGACAACATCACAGAAGCTCCTGGTTCAGGACTGGGGCAAACTTGGGACATTTGGTTGACAGCAGATCCAAGGGTTCACTACCCGCCTGCCTCATGGTAGAAAAGTGGATGTGAGATCTGTTTGCCTAACTTTAGCCCCATCATCCTTCAGACCACAGTACTGGCTTCTAACTTTCTCAGAAAAGGAGGCAAGTATTGGTCCCTTGGCCAGACCAGCAGAACCTATGCACATGACCTAGTAATTTCAGTGTGATAAATACCTTGCCCTAGAAAGGAAATCCCATCCAGGGCCCTCCTCGCCTGCCCCAGCCTACCCTGCATGCCTGCATGGCTTAGGACTGCCATGTGGCCTCTGCAGGTCCTAGTATTCTAGGTCTGATTGTTTCATTCCCTAACAGACCTCAGAAAGGAGAACCTCTAACTCCCAGTGGCATTTAGCTTCCCTCTTTAAACATCTGGGTCACAGATATGCTCAGTTAATTAATGTTCTTAGTGCTGCTCATCTGCCTGCTGGATAATAGATTGATTCATAATTTCAATAAGCAGCTGTGTATATCTTTTCCCTGAACATAAAGGCAGCTTGCTGTCATTCATCACTTTGCATTTGGAGAATTTAAATATATTCAGGGAGACATTGTTTAGGCAGGGGGAGGGAGGGCTGCTGATTTTCTTACCATTTTGCCTCCAACAATTACTTTGATTTGGAACTAATTGGGGTTTAAAGCACACGTTAACCGCATCTCTCTCAAGGGCACTTAATAAACTCCCTGTCCCTTGTTCAAGGAGAGCAGCCAGGCCCTCCTTTTGGGATCAGAGCCAAGAGCTTCTGAGTAGCTTTCACCAAGAAATGAGAACCCCATGCAGAGAATCTTTTCTGCCAGAAAAGAGCCACTCCTGTCCCTGAGCGGAGCTACTTATTTCATTCCTGGGCAGAATATGCTCAGGCTCTCTGGAGGAGGTGGGGTTCCCCCGGCAATCTGGGAGGGGGCTCCTCTGCTGCTCAGCTGCTGGGCCATGGCAGCCAATCATTTGGTGACCAAAAGAAAGCGGCCAGCACCCAGTCAGCAGACCAGATGTCTTCATGCCTCAGTTTCCTCATCTATAAAATGTAAATAATAATAAAACATATCTTGCAGAGTTGTTGTGAAAATTGCATTATTTATTCTCTTTACAATGGTTAGAAATGATGCAGAGTGTTTTTTTTTAATTTATTAGGCAACAGCTGTGTAGATGTGGCTGCGTTTTTAAATGTTGCCATTCACCGCATTTACGTGCTCAACCCCAAACACATTTTGAGCACTTGGTCTGTGATTTGCTGCTAGTAAGAAAGGAAATTAATTAGGCACAGCCCCTCCCTCTCAGGAGTGTGAAAGATGGGTGAATGCATTTTTTAAAATTTTAGAATATGATTCTTAAACAATATAATTTTCCTTCCCCAGGACACTGAAGGCAGCTGAGGCAAGGCTGATAGCCTACTATGGGTTCTGTTGTGGGAACGGTTGCCAGGCAACACCTTCTGGTGTTGGAATTGGTGTTGGAATCAGTTAGGAATTGCTGCATAACAACTACCCCACAACGTAGTGGCTTAAAACAATATGCATTTTTTTATTGCTCACGAGTCTACAGGTCAGCTGGATGATTCTATGATCTGGACCAGGCTTGGCTGATCTAACTGGATTCATTCCTGCATCTCCTATCAGCAACTGGCAGGTTGGCTGAGGGCTGCCTCATCCAGGTTGGCCTCATCCATTTGGTTAACTGGTGGCTAACTGGCAATTGATTGGGCCACATGACTGTCATCCTCAAACAGGCCAGCCTGGGCTTACTGTTCCAAGAGACTGAAAGGATGTATACAAGGCTAAAAGTCTAGTCTAGGAACAGGCACAGCCTCACTTCTGCTCCATTCCATTGGCCAAAGCAAGTCACAGGACCAACCAGTATTCAAGGGATGGTGAAATAGATTCCACTTCTTGATGGAAATTGCTTCAAAGCCATCTTGCCATGGGTGTATAGAAGGAATAGTGGATGATGTGGTCGGTTTTGCAACCTACCATAATCATCCAGCCTTTGTTGTTGTACATAAGAGCATAAAGCAAGCACTAGGATTTTGTTGCCCACTTATGATATTTTTGCTCTGCTCTTTATTATAAATTCTGTTGCAATAAATACCCTACCCATGAATTTTTGTTTGCAATTCTGATTATTTCCTCCTGCTAGAGTGTATTAGTCCAGTCTCATGCTGTTAATAAAGACATACCCAAGACTGGGTAATTTATAAAGAAAAAGAGGTTTAATGGACTCACAGTTTTACATAGCTGAGGAGGCCTCATAATCATGTTGGAAGGTGAGGGAGGAGCAAAAGCATGCCTTGTGTGGTGGCAGGCAAGAGAGCGTGTGCAGAGGAACTGTCCTTTATAAAACTATCAGATCTCATGAGACTTATTCATTATCACAAGAACAGCATAGGAAAAACCTGGCTTCATGATTCAATTACCTCCCACCAGGTCCCTCCCACAACACGTGAGGATTATGGGAGCTACAATTCAAGATGAGATTTGGGTGGGGACACAGCCAAACAATATCATGGAGTTCTAAAAATTGATTCTTTTTAATTTATATTTTTATTTGATTCAGGGGGTACATACACAGGTTTTTAACAAGGGTATATTGCAGGATGCTGAGGTTTGGGGTATGCTTGAAATCGTCACCCAGGTAATGAGCCTAATACCCAATAGGTAGTTTTTCAAATCTTGCCTTCCTTTCTCCCTCCCTCCTTTTGGCATTCCCAGTGTCTGTAATTTCCATCTTCATGTCCATGAATACCCAATGTTTAACTCCCACTCACAAGCGAGAACATACAGTATTTGGTTTTCTGATTCTGCATTAATTCTCTTAGGATAATGGCCTCCAGCTGCATCCATGTTGCTACAAAAGACATGATGCTGTTCTTGTTCATGGCTGTACCGTATTCCATGGTGTATAGGTACCACATTTTCTTCATCCAATTCACCATTTATGGGCACGTAGGTTGATTGCATATCTTTGCTATTGTGAATAGTGCTGCAATGAACATGTAAGTGCATGTGTCCTTTTGGTAGAATGATGTCTTTTCCTTTGGGTCGATACCCAGTAATAGGATTGCAGGTCAAACAGTAGTTATACTTTTAGTTCTTTGATAAGTCTCCAAACTTCTTTCCACAGTGGATGAACTAATCTACATTCCTGCCAACAGTGTATAAGCATTCCTTCTTCTCTGCAGCCTCACCAACATCTGTTATTTTTTGGCTTTTCAATAGTAGCCATTCTTGCTGGTGTGAGATGGTATCTCATTGTGGTTTTGATTTGCATGTCTCTGATGATTAGTGATGATGAGCATTTTTTCACATGTGTTCTGGCTACTTGTATGTCTTCTTATGAGAAGTGTCTTGTCCTTTGTGCGTAAAAGTGGATTAATTGAATCAAAGGCCATGAACATTTTAAAAGCACAAAGCATATATTTAGAAATCTCCTTTTTGAAAGGTTGTAGTAATCTACCCTCCCTCCAGCCCAATAGCGGGAGGGTCCATCTTAGACTTAAGTCACCAAAATGTGAATAATCTCTGATTTTAGTGTCAGTTTTTTGGGAGTTTTTTGTTTTTTGTTTTGTTTTTGTTTTTGTTTGGTTTTTGTTTGTGTGTTTTTTTTTTTTTTTTTTTTTTTTTTTTTTTTTTTTTTGAGACAGAGCCTCACTCTGTTGCCCAGGCTGGAGTGCAGTGGCACGATCTTGGCTCACTGTAGCCTCCGCACCCCCAGGTTCAAGCAATTCTCCTGCCTCAGGCTCCTGAATAGCTTGGATTATAGTTATGCGCCACCACACCCGGCTGATTTTTGTAGTTTTAGAAGAGACGGAGTTTGGCCATGTTGGCCAGGCTGGTCTCGAACTCCTGGATTCAAGTGATCCGCCTACCTCAGCCTCCCAAAGTGCTGGGATCACAGGCGTGAGCCACTGAGCCTGGCCTACTCTCTTTCGTAAAATGTGGTATTTCATTATTTTAGATTTTTGTTTCTTTTCGTACCTATGAGGTTGAGTACTGTTTAATGTCTCTTTCTTCTTCAGTGAATGGCTTCTTTGAGCCTTTTGCACCAGATTTAGTCAATCCCTCTTGATAAGTGAGGAGGAAATGGAGACTCAGAGAGGTTAAGTGACTTGTTCAAGGTGGCCCAGCCAGCTGAAAGTAGAGCCATTTAGAGATTAGACATCCAGCTTCTTCATCTATTCCTTCTCCCCGACGTTGCTGAATAGAAGACTAGGTCCTAAAACACTGCCTGAGGATATGCTTAGAAAAAAGATCAGGGCCAGGTGCAGTGGCTCACGCCTGTCATCTCCGCACTTTGAGAGGCCAAGGCGGGCAGATCACGAGGTCAGGAGTTCGAGACCAGCCTGACCAACATGGTGAAATCCCGTCTCTACTAAAAATACAAAAATTAGCCGAGCGTGGTGGTGCGCGCCTGTAATCCCACGTACTCAGGAGGGTGAGGCAGGAGAATCGCTTGAACTCGGGAAGCAGAGGTGGCAGTGAGCTGAGATCGCGCCACTGCACTCCAGCCTGGGCGACAAAGTGAGACTCCATCTCAAAAAAAAAAGAAAAAAGAAAAAAAGATCAGAGAGTTGCCCTGGGGACTCTGTATCCAGGCTCAGGAAGCCCGGGAGGCTTTCTGGAATAGGGCTCTCCTGTGAGTTGAGCATACGGCGTGAGTGACAGGCTGGGATGGTGGGCAGGACTGCAGTATTGACAGACAGTAGGGGTGACACCGGCAGACCTGAGCCCCGCTTCCTCCGTGGTCTCACTCCTGCCTCTCACTCCCATTGGCCTGCTGCTCTGGTCTCTCGACAGCTTGCCCGCTACACCAAGGAAGGCTTTCTGCACTTGGGCGCCCTGGGGACCACCACACTCCTCCCTGACACCCGCTGCCTGGTAGATAACTCTAAGAGTCGGCTGCCCCAGCTCCTGGACTGCGACAAGGTCAAGAGCAGCCTGTACAAGCGCTGGAACTTCATCCAGGTGAGTGCTGTACAGACAGGGCCAGCAGTCAGAGGCTGCAGACCACAGAGGGGAATCCAGCTTCCCCAGGGGTCCCCAGCAAAGAGCAACCCCGAACCCAGGTCTCCCTACCCCGGGCTGGGCTAGTGGACCCCAAGCACTTCCTGGGTGCAGCTGTGGAGTTTCTGCATGGAGTAGCATTTCTGATTCCTACATCAGTGCTAGGCTGGTTGAGCTCTGATCAATCCTGAGAGAGGAGTGAGGGGGGACTTCCTTGAAATGCACTAAGTACCCACAGCCAGTGGGGTTGAGACCATCAGACCAAGAATATCCCAGGCAACTTCCCATCCTGACCCCATCCCTCACCAGTGCTCCTCGCCGGATTCAGATACTCAAACTGGGTGAAGCTTATTTAGGTTCTGACTTCAGAGTCCCCAGAGGAGGTCCTCATGCTTCCCTGCCCCAGCCCCATGCAAAGAATTTTGGTAGAATTGATTCTCTGCAAGAAGGTATGTGTCAGGAGCCATGATGGTTAAGCCTCTCTCTCTCTCTGTCTCCTTCTGTTACTCTCTCTCTCTCTCCCTCTTTTCCTCTCCCTCTCTCTCTCTCGTCTCTCCTCTCTTCTCTATCTCCTATGTTCTCTCTTTCCATCTCCTCTCCTCTATTTTCTTTCTCTGTCTCTCTCCTTTATCTTTCTCTTTTTCTCTCTCCTCTCTCTGTCTTCTCCTCTCTCTTCCCTCTTTTTCTACCCCTCCTCCCTTTCTTTGTCCTCTCTTTGTCTCTTTGTCTCTTTTGCTCTCTTGTCTCTTTCTCTTCTGTCTCTATCTTCTCTCCTTCTCCTCTCTCTCTTGCCTCTTTTTCTCTGTCCTCTTTCTCTCTGTCTTCCCTTTCCCTCTTTCTCTGTCTCTCTTTCTCTTCTCTCTTTTTCTTTGGTCTTTGTCATTTTCTCTCTCCTGTCTCTCTTTCTCCTCTCTCTGCATCTCTCGCTGTCTCTCTCCCTCTCTCTCTCCTGTCTCTCTTATCCTGTCTTCTCGATTTTGCCCCCTCCCAGAACGGAGCCATCATGAACAAGGGCACGGGACGCTGCCTGGAGGTGGAGAACCGGGGCCTGGCTGGCATCGACCTCATCCTCCGCAGCTGCACAGGTCAGAGGTGGACCATTAAGAACTCCATCAAGTAGAGGGAGGGAGCTGGGGCACTGGAGCCTGGCCCCCAGGACATGGCTGCTCCCTCCGACCTCTGGACCAGCCGCCCTGGTGGAGAGACAGCAAGGGGCTGGCAAGTACTCGACGGGCCCCCCAGGGCTTCTCCAGGGCAGCACAAGGACCCCGGATGGAGACTCTGTCCCCCCTCAGGCATTCAGCTGCCCACAAGTTTCCTGCACCCTGGAAAAGCCCCCCAACCCCTTCTCTGGGAAACCGAGAGCTGTCTTCCACAGCCTCTGATGTGAACCTGGTACTGAGGAGCAAGACTGTCCAGTTCTCCTCCACATCTCCCATCCCAGAATCAGGATCTGGGACTGGCAGGGTCCCCTCCTGTGTCTCATCTCTTGCAGCAGCAGAACTCCAGCCATCAACACAGCGGGAGGCAGCGGGGGCTTCAGCCATGCCCTAGCTCCCTGCCCTAAAAGGAGGCAGCGAGGACCGGGCACTGTTTCCTTCGAGGTTACTTCTGCCCACATGACACCTGTCTGTTCATGCCCCAAGGCAGCCGCGGCCCCTAACCCTTCCCACCATGGTGGCTTTGGGTACTGCAGCTCTGGACTTTTTTGGCCCCTCCCGAGATGACCTGGATGGAGCTGATGCTTTCTCTCCTAATCACCTGGGCACTAGGCTCTTATCAGTGTGCTTGGGCCAGCTCTCCTGCCTGTGTCTAGAGGAAGCCAGAGACAGAAATAGGCTAAGCCTGCAGCAGGGTCTCAGCTGCGAGGGCCCCACAGGATGGAGCTGGGTTGAGGACCAAGGAGCCCTGATCCCGGAGGCTGCCACCGGGGAGCAGCACCGCTCCTCCATCCAGAACCTAAGGGCTGAAGCAAAGGCTGCCAGGACCCTCGAAGATGCTTTTGGCTCCCCTCATTTCACCCCACGCTCTGCTGGCTGGCAGAGCAGAAGGCAGTCGTTTCCTCTCTGAAGAGTATTAATTTTTTTTCGATTGCCCTCTGGTTAGGGTGCACATATAAATCAGAGTTAATATATGAACGCGTGTGCATGCACGAGCGTGTGTGCGCCTGTGTGCTGTGTGTGGCAGAGTGTGTGTGTGTGTGTGTCTGGCTGTGCGTTCCAGAGCGTGCGACGATGCTGACTTAGCTGTGTGGCCTTGGGCTTGCTGCTTCATTACTCGCCTGGATGGGGATGAGGGATGAGAAGGGTATGGGTTTGGCCCCATGTCACTGGCCGGAAGGATGTGTCTCAGCCCTGCCCTGTGGGGTGCCCCCGATGGGAGGCTGTCCCATCTCCCAGTCCCCATCTCTGTTCCCCACTCTGTCCCTGGACAAGCCCTGCCCAGAGCTGAACCCTGTAGCTGCCCCCTTGCCCTGTGTGGGATTCACAGTGTCTCATTTGGTGACATCTTATTGGTGACCATCTCCTCACCCCATCTCCCACCTTGTGGAATAAATACATCTTAATAGCACTTCCCAGAATGGCCTCCTTTGTGTCTTGATTTCTCCAGAACTGGAGGTGGGGAGGGGAGTGATGGAGACGCAAGGGGAGAGCTTATTTGGCTTTGAGGGTTTAGTGTTATTTTTTAACTATTTATTTATGAGATGGGGTCTTGCTCTGTTGCCCAGGCTGGAGTGCAGTGGTGCAATCATGACCCACTGCAGCCTCAAACTCCTGGGCTCAAATGATCCTCCCACCTTAGCCTCCTGAGTAACTGAGACTGCAGGTACACATCACCATGCCTGGCTAATTTTTTACAAAATATTTTTGTAGAGATGGAATCTTGCTGCATTGCCCAGGCTGGGCCTGAACTCCTAGCCTCAAGAGATCTTCCTACTTTTGCCTCTCAAAGTGCTCGGATTTCAGGTGTGAGCCACTGCATCCAGCTAATTAAAAAAAAAAAAATGCAGGCCAGGCACGGTGGTCACGCCTGTGATCCCAGCTCTTTGGGAGGCCAAGGTAGGCGGATTATGAGGTCAGGAGATCAAGACCATCCTGGCTAATATCGTGAAATCCCGTCTGTACTAAAAATGCAAAAAATTAGCCGGGCGAGGTGGCGGTTGCCTGTAGTCCCAGCTACTTGGGAGGCTGAGGTAGGAGAATGGCGTGAACCCGGGAGGCAGAGGTTGCAGTGAGCCGAGATCGCTCCACTGCACTCCAGCCTGGGTGACAGAGCGAGACTCCATCTCAAAAAAAAAAAAAAAAAAAAAATGCAGAGAGGGGTCTTGCTATATTGCCCAGATTCGTTTCAGACTCCTGGCCTCAAGCAATCCTTTCGTCTCAGGCTTCTGAGTAACTGGAACCACAGGCACAGGCCACTGGACCTGGCTGATTTTTGAGAAACAGGTTCTTTGCTATGTTCCCCACGCTGGTCTTGAATTCCTGGCCTCAAGTGGTCCTCCCACCTCAGCCCCTCAAAGCGCAGGGATTACAGTGTGAGTCAGTGCACCAGGTCTGGGTTTGCTTAGTAAAGGCAAAAGGCCCACACACACTGGGGCTGACTAAGGCGATGCCAGTCTACCCTCGTACTTGCCTCTTCCCCCTCAAAGCAGGACAGAACTGGACACCTGACCCTCGCTTACAAACCCTTGTGTGTCCCAGGTTAGGAGTGTCAGGTTGGCACAGAAAGCTGTAAGGAAGGGGAGACTTACCATGGGACTTGGCCTGATCCAGCCCCTTTCTGCCACCATCCAGCAAATTCCACCTTTTTTTTTTTTTTTTCACTGTTGTCGCCCAGGCTGGAGTGCAATGGCGTGACCTTGGCTCACTGCAACCTCCGCCTTCCAGGTTCAAGTGATTCTCCTGCCCCAGCCTCCTGAGTAGCTGGGATTACAGGTGTCTGCCACCACGCCTATTTTTTTTTTTTTCTTTAGAAGAGACAGGGTTTCACCATGTTGACCAGGCTGGTCTGGAACTCCTGACCTCAAGTGATCCTCCGCCTCGGCCTCCCAAAGTGCTGAAGTTTGGGAGGCCGAGCTACTGAAGTTTATAGGCATGAGCTACTGCATCTGGCACCCCCCCTTTTTTTAGGACCACACAGTGGCTGGACAAGATGGCCCGCTGTGCTTGTTTATGTGGCGTGGGGGATGCTGGCTCAGGACCCGTGGGAGACTCTCTGGCACCAGCACATGTGCTCTAAGCTCTGACCTTGGTTACCAGGTCCAGTAGCCTGGAGGGACTATTCACATCAGCATCATCTGTCAGCAGCTCCCCGCCACGGGATCAGGATACCTGGGGAGACTGCTCAGAGCATGAGGTCAGCATCCCAGGGCAACACCCTCCTGACCCCATGGGGTCCCATCTGAGCCTGGTGGCACTGGGAGTGGCCATGGACCAAGGGAGGGAAGAAGAATTAACGAAGCAGGAGAAAGGGAGGAAGAGAAAAGAGAAGCAGGACCCTGGTGGGGAGGAAAGGATTGGTCCTAAGTCCTTCGAGAGAATTTAAAAGCTCTGGATGGCCGGGCGCGGTGGCTCACGCCTGTAATCCCAGCACTTTGGGAGGCTGAGGCGGGCAAATCACTTGAGGTCAGGAGTTCAAGCCCAGCCTGGCCAACATGGTGAAACCCCGTCTCTACTAAAAATACAAAAATTAGCCAGACGTGGTAGGATGACCCTGTAATCCCAGCTACTCGGGATGCTGAGGCAGAATTGCTTGAACCCAGGAGGCAAAGGTTGCAGTGAGCCGAGATGGAGCCACTGCACTCCAGCCTGGGCGATGGGGCAAGACTCCATCTCAAAAAATATAAAGTAAATTAAATAAAATTTCTGGAGACCTCTAGGAGTTCGAGACCAGCCTGGACAACATGGAGAAACCCCCTCTCTACTAAAATACACAAAAATAAACTGGGCGTGGTGGCAGACACCTATAATCCCAGCTACTCAGGAGACTGAGGCAGGAGCCCAGAGGCAGAGGTTGCAGTGAGCCAAGATTGCACCACTGCACTCCAGCCTGGGCGACAGAGTGAGACTCTGTCTCAAACACAAGGCCGGATGACATGGCTCATGCCTATAATCCCAGCACTGGGAGGCCAAGGCGGATCACGACGTCAAGAGATAGAGACCATCCTGGCCAATATGGTGAAACCCCATCTGTACTAAAAAAAAAATACAAAAGTTAGCTGGGCGTGAGGACGTGCATTTGTTATCCCAGCTACTCGGGAGGCTGAGGAAGGAGAATCACTTGAACCAGGGAGGCAGAGGTTGCAGTGAGCTGAGATCACGCCACTGCACTCCAGCCTGGGTGACAGAGTGAGGCTCTGTCTCAAAAAAAAGCAAAATGAAACAAAAAGTTCTGGAGACCCCGTATCTCTGCACAGGGATGGCAGGGCAGCAAACTCCAAGCCTTGAGCTGAAGGGAAATCTCACACTCCATTATGTCAGCCATCGGCGTCATCTATAGTCTGAGAAGTGACAGATTCGTTTCCTGATCTGGGCACCCTCCATGGTCCCCCTCTGCCGTGGGGGAGAACGCAGGACAGGACAGGAGGCTGGGCTCTGGCTATGTCTCCCTCCTGTCCTGCCCAGCCCCTTCCCCTCACACCAGAGCTCCTGCCCTCCCCTAGCTGTGACCGTTTCTCTTTCCTCTCCTTTTTGTTTCCACTCAATGTATATGGCAAACAACAACAACAACAACAAAGTTGCAGATGGTAGTCCTGGTAAATGCCCAAGCCATCAAAGCCAATGTTTTTAAATCTCTGTTATATCAGACAGCTTTCATATTTTTTTTCTGGTTAGATGGACGCTAAAGAAGGAGAAGAAATAGAAAAGACAGAGCTAGCACACTGGGAGCCAGATGCCGCCCTTGTAAGCCTCTCCGAGCCTTTTTATATGGGTTTCTGAAGCCATTTTTTTCATCTGATACTTTTTCTACCATCCTTGAAAAACAACCCGGTTTCATAAAGTGAGGCCCCTGGGCAGAGCAGGTCACTCGCCCAGGGCTTCAGTGAGTGAGTTTTCATTGATTGACATGCTATTTCTCCTCCTTCCTCTTTGCCAATGCTTTTCTGGGAAGGGCGGGGTCACAGCCAGCCAGGAAAAGGCTTGCAAGGGGCTTGGAGCCTGTGTAGGGAACCAGGCAGTTCATGAAGCCTTCCCAGGCTTCAACAAGCCCAGTGGCTGAAGTCAGGAGCCCAGTCCCTGCTGAGTGTCAGCCTCATGTTTCCGTCTGAGCGCCCCGTGCCTGCAGATGATGGGTTCCTGATGTCCCACAATCATGAATCTCTGAGTGTCTTGGCTTCCCTGTTTTCTCACTTCTCAGGTAAGTCTCCTTCGACCCAAGTTTGGGAATCACTGCTCAACCCGGAAGTGCAGAGGTGCATTTCAGTTCTGTTCAGCAAATACATTCGGACACCTCTGTGGTTTGCTCCTTATGATTTCTCTCTCCCTCCCTCCCT